TGTTTTCCAATACATCTCCTAATACCTCTCACAAACTCTTTACGGATATTCTTGACATATTACGGAACCTTCTTTGCACAAAAGATGATTCTTGTTTTTTTTCATATGAGACGTCTACTTTTTTTGTTCCCGATTTTATCCCAAAAATCAAAATAATGTCACTGTCCCGTATGTCACACATTTTCTTCCCAAGCTTAAATCCCTTTGCATGAAAGTCATAACGTTTGATCACATCCATGACATTATCGTCAACTTTCTTGAACTTCTTTAACACCACATCTTCCTTCTTCCAAAAAGATTTAAATAACATCCCAAAAGGTGTTCTCTCGAGGATAGTAATGTGTCTTTCAGTGAACCTTGTGTCTCGCATTAGGTTTATCAATGAAGCAACATTTGACCTATATTGTTTCACATAGTTCTCACTCTCCCGTACTCCATGTACAATATTCAACTTCGAAGGTTTTGTTGTTGAAGGCATTGGATTGCTTTCGTTACAACCTTTATCATCATTAGTACTGGATTGAACTTCTTTACTACTTTTGCTTTTTTTTTTAGGGACTTTCTTCTTTTGTATAGCCGTTGGTGGAACTTCAAAATCATCATCATCATCATCATCATCACCACATTTGCTTCTTGTAACAACCATTTTAAAACACTAAAAAGTTTCCCTATATCAACAGTGTAACATTTTACTTTAAACAACAAAGTGACAAAACAAATAAGTACTAAAGAAAATACACAAGCATTGTTATGAGACAATAAAGTTTTACTCTGTTTGACAGTAAAACTTTACTTTTATTGAAAGTAAAATTTTACTCTGATTGGAAGTAAAATTTTACTCTGAACAATATATCTTAAGAAATAACACATACAAAATTTATAGAACCAAGAATCAAGAAAACCTTGTCTCAATTTTGACTATACGCAACACAGTTCTGAAATTAACATATACAATTCACATTCAAACTGAAATTAGAGAAATGACGAAACTACAATCACATTCACATACATAAATATATATATATATATATATATATATTCATATACAAATTGATATGCACATGTATGTAATGAGCAAATGCTAGAGTTAAAGTAAAATTTTACTCTGTTGATAAGAAAAATTTTACTCTCATTGCAAGTAAAATTTTACTCTGGTTAGAAGTAAAATTTTACTTTGAAAAATTCATGAAACAAGTGAAATTGAAAGCATTGAAATTACAGGACCAAAACACTACAAAAATCAAAGCAACAAAATTGAAGCAAAACTGCATACACCGTTCCGAAATACCTAAATTAGTTTTCAAAATTTTTAAACCTTAACATTCTCACATGATTTAGTCATTTAAAGTATTTTAAGATAGTGATAAAAATTTTAGAACAGATGATCCTTAGTGTAACCTAAAATCCCAAACACTACTCACCCTAATGCAACAATGAAAACAAAAAAGAAAAAAACAAGTGTATTAAAATCACTGACCTCTGTATTTTGTTAGAATAACATTTTGTTATAAATCAAACAACACTACAACAAAAATCACCTTTGGCGACTAAATTTTTAGTCGCCAAAAGTCACTTTTATACCTTCCCCGACTGATTTTTTTTGTCGCCAGTGTTGTCGCGAATAAATGGTCGCCCAAGGTTTTGGCGACTAAAAACGTTTTAGTCGGCAAAAAGTCAAGTCTTCAGCGACAAAACTTTTGGTCGCCAATACTCAATTCCACTTTTTCAAATTATCCATTTAGCGACAACTATTTTAGTCGCCAATAGGTCATGAATCGCCGACTAAACTCATTAGTCGCCCAAAACAACACATTTGGCGACGAAAAAGTTTAGTCGCTGAAAGCATTTTTCCGAAAAAAAAAATTCAACCTTTGCTACTCCCAGGTTTCGAACCACTAACGTCCCAGCCTCTGTAAACCTTTACCAACACTCTTCCCACTACGCCACAAGAACATCACATGAATATAAATGCAACATATATTATTTATATAATATATTGACCGATATTAATAGAAAACAATATATATATATAAATAATTATTTTTATTTAATATATTTTACAAAAAAAATAAAGTATTTACTAAAAAAAAATAGGGGAGCACTTTTGGCGACTAAATATGAATTTTAGTCGCCAATTCTATGCTTTTTGGCTACTAAATGCTGTTTTGTCGCTAAATACATTAATTTCCGCCCAAAAAAAACAACTTTCGGCGACTAAACTGATTTTTAGTCGCCAAAAGCTCCACTTTTGCCGACTAAACTCAGTTTTAGTCGCCATTTGTCCACTTTTAGCTACTAAATTTTTTTTAGTAGCCAAAAACCTTTACTTTTGGCTACAAAAAATTTGTTTGTCGGTAAAACACCTATATTCGGCGACTAAAGTATTTTTTAGTCGCCAAAACTATAGGTTTTGGCTACTAAATGCTTTTAGTTGCCAAAAACCGTGCTTTTTAGCTACTAAAATTTTTTCAGTCGCTAAAACTCCTATATTCAGCGACTAAACTGACTTTTAGTCGCTAAAAGCCCTATATTCGGCGGCTAAAGTGCTTTAGTCGGCAAAAGTGCTCAAGTTTGGCGACTAAACTGATTTTAGTCGCCATTTGTACTACTTTCAGTGACTAAATTCTGCATTTTCTTGTAGTGCAAAATCTTATATGTCAATAATTTCGAATAAACATTTTTTTAGCAGCACTGATTCAACACACACATTACCAAAGGGTTGGGTTAAGACAAAACAAGGATAAGTGATGGCCATCTTTAACGCAAAATCCTTAACAGCCTTATAATCCCACCCCATACCATGTTAACGTAATCTCATATACCACTCCCAAAATGAAAACAAACCCAGAAAGACTTCATAATATCGAAAAGCTAGCAGAAAGAGAGAAAAATCACCTGCAAAATGTGTGTCCAACAGAGAGAGTAAAGCGTAATGCGGAGTTCGATTCGAGCGCAAGCGACGAACTTGTAACGTTGCAAGGGTAGAAAGATAAAGTGGCTCTAGAGAGAGAGAGAGAGAGTACTGAGACTTAGAAAAGGGTTTCCAATCGATGCTAGGGTTTTCGAATGATGATATTCAGATGAGGGTTTTCAATCGATGAAACAGAGTGATGGGAGAGAAACGGTGGAATTGTTTCATATTTCCCCACTTATATAGAAGGGCATTTCAGTCAATTCATGATATTTTTTTAATTGAGGGGCTTTTGGGGCCATTATTTTATTCCGTGGGCTTCATACAAAATAGGCCCAATAAGAGGGGCTTTTTACCAAAAATCTCTTAAAATAATTTGTTTCTAAACGTGACTTAAATTCGAGACATATATTTGATCACTTAATCTAAATTTTATTTAATATTATATAAGATTATATGTACTTAATAAATTATTAATACACTAATCATTTTTAACATTATTGTAATCCAAAACTTGCCCAGCCATTCTGGCCATGCTAGACATGTGGCCCCAACTGGTACTGTGAGGAGATTTTGAACCCACTGTGGGTGATGCAATCATTTTCACGTAACTGAACAATTTATTTTATGTTTTTAAGAAAGCCCGGCTTCCATTCAGCTCGGACTGACGGATACTGTTAGGTTTGTGAAGGTTCATCCAGAGTTTTGTTTTGATAATTCAAATTGTTTAATGTATATAATTTGTAGAGTATTATATATTTATAAAAAAAATTATATTGATCGGATATTGATAGTTATATGATCAAATCAATTTTGTATAAACAAAATAAACTATGAAAATATAAATGGTTGAAAGAAATTTGATCCGATAAAATAATTATTGATATCCGACCAAAGTGATTTTTTATGCATATATAGTATTCGACGAGTTTCTCATATCGAATAATTCAAATTATCGAAACAAAATACATGATGAATTTTCATGAATCTTTTAACATTCTTTAATCTGATTCGAGACAGGAGAAAAGCCAGATTCTTTTTTTAAAAAAAAAAAACTATTTTCTCTCTTCGTAATCAAGAGATACTGAAACAGTCCAGACCCATTTTGAATCCTAGCATAGAGGCGACCATATATATTGCTCGTCCGTATCAAAATTATCATTTGATAATATATTTTTTGAAAAATATTAATTATTATAATTATATTTTTTGTATTATTAATAAATTTAAAAGAAAGGTAAAATAGTAAATTTATATTATTTTATTTTTAAAATTTTTAAAAAAGTCTAATATTTTGAGATAATAAAAAAAAAGAGATTAATATTTTAAAACGAAAGAGTAATACATTTTAAAAATATATGTATAAATAAATAAATATACTAGTAGAAGAAATAATTTTTTTTTCCATGAAACATGTTAAATTTTATATTTTGAATTCCATTCACATTTATAAATGTGTAACTATCTTTTTTCTAAAATTCTGAGGGAACAAATTTGTATGATTCAAAAACAATTAATAACTAACACAAATATATAAAATGTTTGTTTTTTTAGTCACACATATAATAATATAAGGTAGAGAAATGACTGTTTTGGGAAGTGCATTTTTTGGCCATTTTCTTTTGGCTTAAATTTTTTTTAAAAAGGTTTTAAATTTTTAGATTCAGCTCAATAAGGAGAATTAAAAAATTATAATTTTTAAAAAAAAATTCTTAAAATATTCAAAAAAGACAAAAATAAGTTAAAGTAATTTTTTTTTGGCTTAATTGCGTTTTTAGTAATTTTTTGATTTTTTAAAAAAAAATTATACTTTTTAAATTCATTTCACCAAGACAGACAGAAAATATAAAAAAAATTTCACATAATTTTGAAAAAAATTAAAAAAATTCAGAAAAAGTCATTTTTTTTTTTTTTTTTTTTTTTTTTTCAAAATGGGCCAAAGAGTTTAGTTGAGATTATTTACCAAACATTATATAAAAAAGAGAAAAAAACAAAAAGAAACAAGTGATGAGAGAGTACAGTGAAGAAAGTCAAACATCACAACAAAGAGACAGTGCTGACTAGTACTATTAAACTTCGATGAAAGAAAAAAAAACAAAAAAGTAGAGGAAAGCATTAAATGGCTGGCTTATTCAGTTGAGGAGCAGATTGGGTTTCTCCTCACCTGCTCTCTCTCTCTCTGTCTCTCCCCCAAAATCTGCCTCATTCTTAGTAATTTGAGGTCAAAATCTGCCACAGAATACCCAAAAAAGAGAAGAAACGAAATGGGTAATCGATTCATTTGCATGACAAAGAAGGACTCGAAAGATAATAATGGATCGAAGAGCAAGAGAATGGGTCGATCACAGCGCAAATTGCTTGCAGATGAGGAGTTGATTCACAGGCAAGCTCTTTCCATGGCAATTCAGCAGCACCAGTTGTCTCAGAGGTTCGATGGATCCATGTCTCGCCGAATCGGAGGATCCACCAGCTCTCGCCGCCGCAATCTCTCCGATCATTTCCCTAATCCCAAACAGGTCTGTGCTGTGCTGTGGGCCTTCTCTCTCTCTCTCTCATACTTTAATTCACTTTTTAGAACTACCCTTTACTTTACTTGTATTGAATGATTAGATCTCTGTATGGTAAAAGTGGGTTTTCATGTTATGATTTATAATATTTTATAGTTGCTGTGTTGAAGGAATACATGAGAGTCTACTGTTTGTTTGAAGATTCAAATCAAAAGAGAGGACATGAAAGTATGGTTTGATCAATTTGCTTTTACTTTTTTGACCTCTTGGAATTTTTTTAAAATCAGTGCCTAAGTGCTTTTGCACTTTGTAACCAAAAATAGAAAAGGAAAAGTTGGTTTGTGTACTTTTGGTATTTCTGATGAAAATGAAAAGAATTAAGTTTAAAATATTAATATTATTAAGGGTAAATATACTGATATAGGTTTGAAGAAAATGCGGATAGTTACGCAATTTTTGATGAAATTACATTGACCTCCCTTGGAGGAATGGTTAATTGATTGGGGTTAATGGAGGTAATGAAATTGCATTTTTTTTTTACTAGTGTGCTAGTCCGTGACTTACCGCGTAAGGGTTACATTTTTACCCTGAAACTGAAACATTTTGTACAATAATATCAAAAGCATGATTACCCTGTTATCTTTTCTCACTCTTGCCCACTAAACAACCCTCTGTCTCTTCTCCCACTGGACAACAATCTCCCTCAACAGCCTCTAGGAATCAAAAGCTAAGGAGAAGCTTCATCCATGGTATTCATAGCTTTTGGAACAAATTCCCAACCCCATATCTAATATCAACCACAAAGCAATGGTGGTCTCAGTCTTAATGTCTTCCTTCCCCCATCTCTTAGTGGCTTCAATCTCATTGTGTCTTTCTCCCCTCCTCCTGGTGCTGGCCCTACCCTCTTCCCCCTCTCGTCCAATGTAGCTGAAATAATGATATTAAGAAATCTGGATAACACACTTTTAAAGTTGTGGTATTAATTTGAGGGCCCATTAACAAGCAGAAAAAGGCTAAGAATATTTAGTAACTAGCAATCTTCTAGATCAACTACGACTCCAAATAAAAAATCAATTAACATTGCTTGACTCATAAGAAGTCCCATAGGTGCTGTTAAGAGACTAAAGTTCAACTCTCCTTACATTATTTATTAATAAGTGTAGAACAATGAAGTTGGTTTAAGGAAAACTGATTTATTTGTAGCATAAGAGTGGGATGTTTTGGGCAGGACCCCTACACAATCTCATGCATGTAAGCAGCTATGTGCATGTGTTTGGAAATGGATGCCAATCCATGTGATTAGTAATATAATTGTACTTGTCTTGAAAGCTGTTTGGTGGAACCTTAGGGCTTGCTGGAAATGAATTCCTATAAAATTTTTACACACATCTATTTATGAAAACTGCGCATCCTACAAAATTATAATGTCACATTTTTTTGTTTATTTTTTCTTGCATATTGCATTAACATGCAATCACAGTGCTGTGCAATGCATTGCATCATCGGACACCCGGGCTTATCTTGCTTTGCAGATATTTATGTCTACATGATCATTAATTGTGTGGAGTGCATCTGTACAGCTTCCAGAATTTTTGGATAGTATAAAAGCAAAGCAATTTGTTTTAGTACATGGAGAAGGCTTCGGAGCATGGTGTTGGTACAAAACTATTGCTCTGTTGGAGGAATCAGGATTGCTTCCCACTGCCATAGATCTCACTGGATCTGGTATTGATCTGACGGATACAAACAGTGTCACTACATTAGCGGACTACTCAAAGCCATTAATTAATTTTTTGCAGGATTTGCCAGAGGATGAAAAGGTAGATATGCTCAAAGGATTGCTTTGATTCCTTTCATCTTCTTAACAACTCTCATGGCAATTATCTTGTGAAAAATTACAATATGTGTACTTCTGCAGGTTATTTTAGTTGGTCACAGTAGTGGAGGCGCTTGCATTTCATATGCATTGGAACATTTCTCAAAGAAAATCTCAAAAGCAATTTTCCTTTGCGCTACAATGGTGCTTGATGGGCAGAGGCCTTTCGATGTTTTTGCTGAAGAGGTGTGTAATTCATGCTTAGTCATGCTTTAAAGGTCAAACAAGTATGAAAAAAGTTCTCCTGTGATAGAACTAAAATGACTCTAGATTAATTGGTAATTTTTTTTAAAGAAGTCAAATTCATTTCATGGAGAATAATTGATTATTTTATTACTAATAATTTAAAAATGATTTGGAAAATCCTTGTGTAAATAGAAAATTACACATGTCATGTACATTTAATAGGTACAAATCATTAGTAAATTTGATATGTTAATGTCTGTAATGAGAAAGGAATTAAGAGCTTTCCTATAACTTAAAATAAAATATTTCACTTCTCATGTATTACACCCACACAACCTGAGAGTTTTCCAGCTTACAATTACTCCACCTCACATATTTGAAACTACATTGCCCTCTCCTATTAGAGTATGTCAGGAGACAGTTGTGAACTGAAAGTCTGCTTTAACCATTTACCCTTTCTATCTGTAAGATCTTCTCCTTCATTTTTTGTCTTCTTTACTTCTCTTTAACCTTTCATATCAGCTACTATGAGAACCATTTTTAATGGCTGTTGCCAATCAATGGGCAATGCTTCCAACCACCACCACCCAAATCCCTCATGATGGAAAACATTAACAAACAATCAAATCAAACTCTTCAATGGCATGATAGAGTTAAAGCAACCAAACCCATCATCTATTTTCATTGCTCACCTCCATCGATTGCCGCCTAACACCACCATGTAAGGCCAACCAGTCAACAATAACCAACACCTCTCCCACAGCTGAACCAAAACTTCATCGTTGTCACCACTGTTCTTGCCATTGAACCTCAAGCCAACCTACATTTCCACTATTAAAACGTTGCACTTCTCTCTCATAGAAAACTTTCCAATCACACTCTTCTATCTATTCATTCTTTTTCTTCTTTTTAAAAAAAAAACAAAATAAAATTGTGGCTTTCTTCTAGTTTCATAGTCGTTATAAAGTTGATGACATTTTCAAGGAATCTATATAATACATTTATATATGTATTTTTATTGTAATAGTAGTTTGGAGAACTAGTGGACGGTTTCAACTTTCAACATTGATGTTGATGGTGGCATAGTGGGTATTGTTGGCCGTTTGGTTAGATGGTGGAGCTTGTAGCAGGCATTGTGGTGGTGGTGGGTGTGTACTGTTGGCCATGAAGGTGGTTGTGGAGTTGTGGTGGTGGTGTTTTGCTGGCCGTGTAGTTGGGTTGTGGGGGATGTGTGGTAGTGGAGACAAGAACTGGAAATGGTTGTCTGAATTGATTAGTTAGTAGAGGTAGCCATGAAGAGAGAGAGAGAGAGGTGTTGTGATGGGGTTTGATGGTCAGTACTAGCCATGGTGGTTGCCAATTTGGGTGCTGTGACCAGAGTTATAAATCCCATCCCATGCCGGTATTTTTTGACCAGTATCTTAGACCATTCCAAATTCTGTCTCGAAACACATTTCAGACTGATTCGATATATTTTCGACATACCGGTGAATTTTGGTAAATTCTAGTGATATCAGTGTCTAGGTCTTTTTACTCTCCTTCGGTCTTCGAGTTCATAATTTGGAGTTGATGGGCTGGTTTTTGGTGGTGGCAGGTTTCTTCCTTCGTCGATTAGCTGGAATGATCTGGTTGAGACATTATATATAATAATTTTTGGAGTTGATGTGGTGGGTGTGAGGGTGTGGTCTATTCCAGTGTTGGGTTTTTGTGTTCTACATATGCGGTCCAAAATGGTTGCTAGAGATAGTGTTCAGGTTTTGTTGGTGCGGGAGGCCTAGTAAGTTGCATCCAATTGAGATTGGCTGACTTGACTTGGTTCAAGAGATTGAATTACAAAAATGTTCTAGCTCACTAAGTGAACTCAATACTATATTATATTTGAACGACTCGAATAAGAGCAAAATTAGCATTTTGAATTTTTTTTTTTTGAAATGATGACAATAAATTCTGTCTTCAACTTTATGATTGGCCAATGGGGAGGGGAATCAGTAATGAACAATGAAAAACATATGGGGAGTGCTGTGTTATTACATGTAGGAATATGTGCAACTGTTAGAAACCTCAGGGGATGCGGGTGTAATTTACCCTACATTTTCTTCTGAAAAAAATTTATTTACTTTCAAATAAGTAAGCACATACTCTTTATCTTTTCCTTCGCTTCTTTTTTCTTTTTATATTATTATTTTTAATAACTAAACAGATTTGGACTTGCGTAAGTTTTTTTCATTGATGAGAATCACAGAGCAAGCAACTCATTAATAAGTAACTCTGGCAATTAGTACTTTCTGGATCTCCCAAAGTCGTCAATTATTAGAGTTAGAGGGTCAATGGGATGGTTCTTTCCTTTAATACATCGTTTCTTTCCTGTAATATTGTTATAGACATGCATAGTTGTTTCTCTAATTTACTTTATTCTGAAATAAGAAGAAATTACAGTCTATTATTCATTTCCCTCCAGAGTCCTGAGGCTCTTGGTCAGTCATTTATTGAACTTTTTGAGTGGGATCAATGATTCGGGTGGAAATTTGTAGAGGGGAGGGAAAAAGTGAAAAAAAATCAGCTTCTATTTCAGTCATATTTCACTGGCGTTTTCCTTTCCCTCCACAAATCCCTCATCAAATCATTGATTCAGAGATAGCCTTGGGAAAACATTTTTCGTCTGTCAAGAATGTCTTTGTCAATGGTGATTCATTGAGCAGTTTTCTTAGCTTTAATTTCCTGTATTTGCATGTTCCTTGAAGCAAATTCTTTTTTGCAGCTTGGGTCTGCTGAACTTTTTATGCAGGAGTCAAAGTTCCTAATTTATGGGAATGGCAAAGATAATCCTCCTACTGGATTCATGTTTGAGAAACAGAACTTGAGAGGGTTATATTTCAACCAATCCCCTACAAAGGTATTCCCCCCTCTGCTTTGAGATATTACAAATTCCTGTCATAATTTGTCTCTTAATGGGGTAAACTGGAAATGTAAAATTACCCTATTACCCTCCAGTTGATGGGGATCACATGAGGACCGCCATTCATTGCACTTATGTGGGGCGGGGCGGGAAGAATTGAAATTGATTTATTTAGACTTATTTAGGCTTGATTTAAGGAGTTATTTTGTAATTTTGGTTATTTTGGGATTTATTATGTCTTTCCTTATTCATTCTTTTTTATTTGGCCGATAACTATTGGGCTTAGTGTTATTAGAAGAAAATTTTGATATTGAAATTAATATTGAGTATTGAGAATTAGGGTTTCTTTGGTGTGGTCTCTTTATTTTGTTTCCTCTATTTTCTTTTGGTTACTCTATTCTTGCCGGCCGTCTGGCATCACTAATACTAAAATAAAATTACCCTATTACCCTTTTCTCCTTCCTTGCCCAAACCTCACACTTTTCCTCTCTCCCGATTCTATTTGAAAATAGCTAGAATTCATTTATCCATATATCATTTTTTTGTATTCATAAGAACTCTTTTATCATTTCTCTCTCTCTCTCTCTATATATATATATATATATATATATTCTTTTTGTTACACGCTAGCACCTTCTGCCACCACCTTCCACCTATCCTGGCCACCCCCCATCCACCACCTACCATGTTCCACCTCCACCATAATGTGTATATATATTATTTCTCTCTCTCTCTCTCTCTATATATATATATTATATATATAAGAATCAAATGAAGGAAAGTTGTTCACAAGGTAATCATTGACTTCGGTTTGAGATGCATTCCTCATCAATGTCAGCTTGAGCAATGTGGATCGAGATGCATTGCATTTTCTCATCTTTGGTTTTCTAGGTTTTGAAAGAGAAGTAGCAGAGTATTATAATTGTTTAGTAGAGTGGTTTGGTGGTGATTGGCAGCCTTACACAAAATAATAATAAAATAGAAGTTGTACCAAACCACAATGCATATTTTAAAGAACCTGTTTATCTTAGTATGAATTCATGAAAAACAAAGGAATGGTCAATTAAAAGATTCGGACAAAATGCGAGACAATTTAATTATTTAATTTAATGTTATTCTTTTGTCAGGATGTTGCTTTGGCCATGGTGTCGATGAGATCTATTCCTCTTGGTCCCATCATGGAGAAGCTGTCACTCTCACCTGAAAACTACGGAACTGGTCGGCGATTTTTCATTCAAACATTGGATGATCATGCACTTTCACCTGATGTTCAAGAAAAGCTGGTGAGGGAAAATCCACCTGAAGGAGTCTTCAAGATCAAAGGCAGTGACCATTGCCCTTTCTTTTCAAAGCCACAGTCACTCCATAAAATTTTGCTTGAAATTGCTCAAATCCCCTAGCTTAATTTCTGAAGTATTTTTTTTTTACTTATAAGATCATAGTAAAGATACCTTATTTGATTGCTTAAAGGCTGTACAATGTGAGAGGCCATAGTAGAAATAGGTGCTGCTTTCTTCCTATTGTTCTCTAATTTCCAATTATGAATATGAATATGAATATAGGGAGAGGGGTTTTACAACCTTTTTCTAGTCAAAGTAATATCATTGTTGAATGTGAATGCTATAGGCTATGGCTACTTGCTCAATTTATTTATTGGGTCTGGCTTTGGTCCAGTCTACCATCGGACTGGACCGTACTGTTGGGCTTGTGGGGATTCACCACGGGTCCTGTTTTGAAAATCTGAACCGTTTAATGTGTTGAACTCTTTGAGTACTATATGCCTGTAAAAACTCACATTGATCGGATATTGATAGCTATGTGATCAAATCAGTTTTTTATAAAAAAAATAGACGGTGAATAAATTAACGGTTGACAAAAAATTGATTTGATCACATAGCTATCGATATCCGATCAACGTGATTTTTTACAGGCATATAGTACTCGAAGAGTTCTACACATTGAACGGTTCAGAATTTCAAAACGGGACCTCTGGTGGACCCTCATGGCCCCAACAGCACAGTCTAGTCCGATGGTGGACTGAACCAAAGCCAGACCCTTATTTATTAATTATTTTTTTTCAAAAGAAAAGGGTAATTTGGTTCAATGGAAAGGCTTCTTGTTAGTATTCTTAATGATGTTGATTCAACTCATGAAATCAATTCTCGTTTGTCAATTATATATTTTATTTAAAAGTTAAAAAGTTATTATAAGTTGTCATATTATTTTTTTTTATAAAAATTAAAAAATTATTAAAATAATATGTTTCTAAACGAAGTGTCTCTCTAAAATATGTGTATCATCTTATTATCTGTAGTCCTTGTTTTAGAGGAAGCCTGATGCACCGAGTCATGTTTTTTAAAAAAAAGGGAGATTTGAAAATTTTTTAGAGGAGTGATGGAGACCCCTTCAATCACTACTCCACCACCCCCCACATACGTGGTAGGTGGTGATGGGAGGACAAGGGAAACATAAAAAAAAAAAAAAAAAAAATCTAACTAATGAGAGAAAGAGGGGTCAAAAGGGGTGAAAAAAAAGAGAATTTTAAGTATTTTTAAATTTTTTATTCACTTGTATTTATTTATTTCTTGTTCGTAGGTGGGTAGGCTTTCGCTATTATCTGTAGGAAAAATAATTGATGATATATGGACTGGTCCAAGAGGAGGGGTGAGAAAATGAATAGCTTACCAACCTCGACGGTTTGGTTTAATCATTGAGTCAACTAGAATCAATCAGACATGTCATAATTAGTTCACAAATATATTTAAAGTTATATATTCACTCCGTTCTAAAATAATAATTTTTTTAAAACAATTTAATTTTTTTAATAATATAATTATTACACTTTAAAAATATAACTTTTTAAAATTACTTTTTGATATTATATTTTTTTTAGAAATATCAATTGTCATAATTATATTTTTTGTATTGTTAATGAATTTAAAAGAATGGCAAAATAGAAAATTTATATTATTTTAGTTATAGATTTTTGAAAAGAGATAATTTGGTATAATGAAAAATAAAATAAAGAACTTATTTTGGAACGAAAGGAGTATCAATAAAATAGGACTGAGCAAAGAATCCGTGAAATCCGTAATCTGATCCAATCCAGTCTAATCCAGTAGGTTTGGATTGGTTTTTTAAATTCGTGGTTCGGTTCCGGATTGAAAAATTAAAAATCCGTAGTTTACGAATTGGTTCCGGATTGAACCCCAAGGTTCTAGATTGGAACCGATCCGGTCCGTATACAAATAATCTACATTTTTATTATACACCCGCATGCATAGTATCTTCTCTTATTTCATATAAAACTCAAATCCAAACCTAAATTTGCATAGTATATTCTTTTATTACTTTTGTTTGCTAGTTTTTAGTGTTAATTTGTAATGGTCTAAATACTTATGGTGGAACCAGTTTTCTTATGATTGTTTAAATTTTAGAACAATATGTTGCTATTATAAAAAGACATTCTACATTTTTATTATACACCCGCATGCATAGTATCTTCTCTTATTTCATATAAAACTCAAATCCAAACCTAAATTCGCATAGTATCTTCTTTTATTACTTTTGTTTGCTAGTTTTTAGTGTTAATTTGTAATGGTCTAAATACTTATAGTGGAACCAGTGTTCTTATGATTGTTTAAATTCTAGAACAATATGTTGCTATTATAAAAAGACATGTTGCTATTGTGAAACTAATATGGTGCTATATTTATATTTTTAGAAAATTAAAGTGTTATATATATTTTTTTGTTATTTAATTATGTAAATCCGTGGTCCTAAACCGATCTAATCTGTAATTAAATAGATTGGTTCAGATTGGTTTCACGATTTAAATAGATTGAATTGATTCCAATTTTTCAAAAACCGTAAATAACGGATTGATCCTGATTTTACCCCAATCCAATTCAATCCGGACCATCCTCACCCCTACAATAAAATATGGAGATAATTCAGAGATAACACAGGAGAGAAGCAAAATAGAAGGGGGAAAAAAAGTTGGAAGGGGTGCATTCACTGGAACATACACGAGACTTTCTAGCTTCCAATCAGTTCTGTCAAATAATAGCTACATTGCCATTTACACTATGTTTGGTTGGAGGATTCGAGGATGAATTTGAAAAGATAAAGAAAGAAAATAAAAATAAAATATGAATAAAACATATATATTTTATCTAGTTTTACACATCTTTTTTTCTTTATTTTTTAAATCTCTTCCCAAATCTCCTAACTAAATATAACTAGTGATGCGAAACATAAGCATATTATTCTATTACACTGATACAACAGTATTAAAAACAAAAAAGGGAAAGAATTTATTTTAAACAGTGAATCCTAAGATCTTGACAAGAATGACAATAATCCACCCCAGAAGAAGATTTTTTAAGCATTGATTTCTTCAAGAAATGGATAATCAATGTAACCAACAACAGGATCATGAGTGTAGAAGGTCTCTCTATTGTACTTGTTCAGAGAAGCATTGAGCTCAAACCTCCTTGGCAAATCCGGATTGGCCAGAAAAAACCGACCATACGCGACAAGATCCGTATGGTTCTCCACCACAGCTCTCATACCGTTTTCTCTGCCATAACCTCCCCCGCCAATGAAAGTCTCAACCCCAAAACCAGCAGTACAAAATGGCCAAAATTTTACTAAGAACAAAAATGAGAGTCTCAACTCAGTCAAAATATTACTCTAATAGCTCCTCTCCAAGAGAACAAGAGCTCCAAAACCACCTCCCAATCATCTAGCTCCTGACAAAACAAGATATCCCAAAAGATATATAGTTCCTCTTTCAGCCGCAATCCTAGCAGTATGAAAGAAACCGGCTGGGGAACCATTAACCAAAACCGAAAACCAAAATGTAGAAATACATAAACCAAATCCAGTCTCTCTACTTTTGGCCAAAACCACTCATACTTATCACATAACCAAGGAACCCCTAATCAACATGGTTATAGGGCTTCTCAATGTCAATATTGCAAATCAAACCTCGAATCTACCCATTCATTAGCCACTGAGACAACATCTAAAATCTAGTGGCCACCCACATTTTGTGTTTTGTTACAGAGAATGTATATCTAGTTAGCTTCTTCCAGTGGAAAACTAATTACAGTCCTTTTTTTCTAGGATATGGTAATCAATGAGACCAAAATCTCAATACATAACCATGATCAACATACATATTGAGTCTGTGCAACATAGTTCATGCATAACTGACAAATATAAACAGAAAACTAGAAGTCAAAATGTTGCCACAAATTCTTCCACAAATGTTATTTATGTTTTGCAAACAAAGGAGCTAAACAACGAGCTGGAAACATTTGACTCAATGATTATTCATTGTTATTATCAGTGAAATATTGCCATATGATGAAAGAGACATTCAAATGGGGGCAAAATTCAACAATATACCTTGATTTGAAACTCTTTCTGCATGCCAAATCTGACAAAAGAATATACCACTCTTTGCATGAACAACATCTACAATAGGTTTCCAAGCTTCAACTTGCTCCTTTGTCAATATACCAGGTGTAAATGGATATCTTCATTTGAAAAGAAAGAAGAATTAGTAATAGAAAAATAAGAAATGAAGACACTCCCGCTTATTCACAGAGATAGGCACACTCTTGCACATGGACACCTACATATTTTACTTTAAATCCATAGAAAAGATTGAAATTCGCAAACTACTAATGCTAAAAGTACCCCTGTGCAGTATCGGAAACCATAGTGGCTTCGGCAATGAGAAGACCTCCTTTGCTGGTCCTCTGTGAGTAATATAAGACAGCATGTGGTTGAGGAACTTTGTCGAACGATCTCTGCCTAGTCAATGGCGCCAAGACAACTCTGAAAATATTGGAGCAAAAAAAAAAAAAAAAGATGGAAAACTACATTTAGCATTTAGACATGTTGTCCTCGTAAAGTTGAACCTCGCACTAATTAAATTATAACAGCTTCTTCAGAATTAAAAAAAACACTCGGCAAACAAAAGAACCACCACTAAAACAAGAATGACTTGACAAAATTCACAAAAACGTTAAGAACTTGAATCGATGATTAAAATTCAATCACGATTGAAAAGAACTGACATGTCCAAATCAACATACGAACTGCAGAGGGATTGTGCTGTGTCAGTTGTAAGCTACAAAGTCATAACTTTCATATGTCTATATGGGATAATGAACTGAAAAATTCAAAAGAAAATGACAACAACCAAATAAATGAAAACAAAGTCACAAAATGAAGAGGGAAAATAAAGCTACTCTTTAAATTTGCAGAGAATGCCTAAAAAGGATATGTGACCTTCCCATTTATATCTGTCAGGGTATGAAACTAAGGAATATTTGTTTACATAGCTATCAGATGATTTTTCTCAAGCCCCCTAAAATCTCACAGAAAAACCTCACTTCTTTCCTGTACTCTTGTTTCAAAAATAAAAATAAAAAAACAGAAAATTTTCTTGAATTCTTTTCCAATTGACGCATGTAATGATGATGAGCAGAGACTTTCAGCACGACACAAATTTAAACAACTGCCAACAAAAGTTAAGGAGAGAAAATACATTTGGGCCAATACATAGAGAATAATCATCTTGTTAATTAATCATTTGAAAGTGCCAGCTCCAGAGCAATATAATAAGTTTAGGCTGAATCCACAGATCATATGGAACACTGTATATGATATTATTCATAAGAAACTTTGGAGAGATACACATTAGATGATATTGAAGGGAAAAACACTAACAGATATAATTAGCCTAAGAAGTGAAAGTGGTTTACAAGACAGATGATATCTCATTTTCAAGACTCCGACCACAGAATCAACCACATAAAATAATCCTACTCATATTGTCTGTGGTTGGTTATGTGTCGCTTTACTTAAACCCACGTATGAATATATATAAGGCCATCTCTAGCCCTTACTCAAAATTTTAGTCAAATTTGAGTAAAAGGTTAATATGATATGAATGGACAAGCTTAGATTTAAGCATAAATCTGAGTAAAGACTACACTAAAGGCAAAGTGGCAAATTTTGGAGTCAGAAAACAGCCGTCAAAATTTTGTGTAAATTTGATTTGTTGAAAAATAGTTTACTCAAAATTTGAGTAAAACTCAATTTGGTATGAGTTTGGGTCAAGGAGCGGAGTTTGAATGATTTTTACCCAAATTTAAGTATGATAAAAGAGCATTTCCAATGCTACATCAAAAATTTCATCAAATTTGATAAAAAAAAATTGATTGGATACGATGCACTCCTATGAAGCATGGGTATTCGGAAAATTTTGCCCTACTTGTACTGGGTATTTATCGGGTACTGATAGGGCTACATGCATATCGAGTACTCGAAATACGTACTGGATACTTTTATACATTCTTTGACAATTGGGTACTCCATGTGTACTTCATGGGTACATCAGGAGTACACCAAACTATGGGACATTGGTGATGATACATTTAATTTATTAATTGTTCTTATTTACTTAAAATTGCAAACTTTTACTTGATGTATCAGAAATGAAAGATGTATTATTCAATGATGAAGTCGATGGAAGTAAAAACTAAAGTTTCAAGTTTTTATATTTTGCTTAGCTTGCTTTTGGAATGACACTTTGTTTTGTAATTTCTTCTATTTAATGGCATTAAAATAGCTTATAGACTTTGTTTTGATATTGCTATTGTTGAACTATGATTTCTCTTTTAGTTTTGTAATTTTCCCTTTTAGTTTTGGTATTGAACTTTGATTTGTAAATTATTTCTCAAACTATAAATTACAAAAAATAAAAATTTATTACCGTACTCCAATTGTACCCGTATCCAATTTTTTTTAGGTTTTGTTGGCGTACCTGTACCAATATCTGTACCTGCACATGTGCTTCATAGATGCACTCCAATGGTAATTCACAATTTTCATTAAATCTTGGTACAAGCCCAGTTGTCCGGGAGGATATCCTGGAGGACAAAAGTAAAAATTAATGTTTAGATAAAGAAAGCTCAGTTGTCTGGGAGGATGTCCGGCCCAACAGCTACCTATAAAATTTGATGAAGGATAAAAGCTACCTTGATTTGATGAAAGATTTAGTTCTCCCTTCATTTGATATCAGTTTGATAAAAGCATTGGAGCTGAGTTTCAAGGATATTTTCATCAAATTTAAATTTGATAAAACATTTGATGAAGGATTGGAGATGGCCTAAGTCTGTGTCAGAGATGTCCTAAATATAAAATACAAGCAAGTACACATTTAAAATATAATATGCCAAACAATAAATAAAAAAATAAAAATTGACTAACAAAACAACCCATAAAGAAGAAGATTTCTTCAAACTAACATCCAGTAAAGTAAATATAAAAATGCAGTCACTAATTAAAGGAAGAATTACAACCCTGAACACAAAGAAGTGGACTGATTGAGAGAGTGAAGTGCTGAATATCAAAAATGAAAAAATGAGTGAATTTCCCATGTGGGATTTTCCTCAAAAACATCAGTTAACAAATCCATGCAGCAACAGAAAGAGAAAACAATTAAAAAAAAAAACTACATTCTATCAATCAAACTGTTTATTGCAAATATAAACAACAAAATCAAGTGGGATCAAAATCAAGAAAAATTTCTAGTGTATGTGAGTAAAAAAAGGTAGACAGACACCTATGAGAAAGTTGGGAGTTTCCCATCTTGTATGGGGAGAGAAGAGGGTTATGGGGTGGATGCTTTTGCTCTTTCTCTTCTTGTCCTTGCCTTACTTGCTCCAATTCCATTTTTATTCACTGAAAACACTTGAAAAATGGAAGCTTGTGGATGAATGAATGAATGATATCCCAAAAATCAAAGATAGTGAAGCCGGGTTTAACAATAATACAAGAAAGAAGATTACAGAACAGGAGGCTCCAATATTGGATTGAGGGAAGCTGGGTGGGGGTATAAGTAGCAGGGGATGTCATTCTTAATATTTTTTTTTCTAATGAAATTTGAATTTGATTAAAAAAAAATATATATCTTTTCTTGTTTTTACAAAAATAACGTTGGTGTGTTAACATAATTATTTTACAATTAAAAGGCTATGTGGCTGCTCTATTAGTTCGAACCTTGATTTCCTCCTCACCACTATACTATTGAGCCAAACCTCTACATCTAAATTATTTTCAATTTATTCATTAAATATTGGATAAATTATGTAAATGGTTTACTCAATATGTCAATTGGTTTATATTGTTTTAATTTGTTTGATTTTACTTCTTAATTTAACAAATTGTGTCATATTAATCCAATAAATTACCGCTGTTAGGTTTAGTAGACGGAAACTCAAATAATGTGTTAATTTGGTCTATATAATTTACACGATGTACTAATTTAGTCCTTGTAAAAATTGAACAAATTAAAATAATAGAGACCAAATTGACACATTGTTTGAGCACGTGATAGCTTTCCGTCCACCAAACTTAACGACCATTATTTATAAGATCAATATAACAGAATCCATTAAATTAAAGGATAAAATCGAACAAATTAAAACAATAAGAACCAAATTAATATATCGTATAAATTATAAGGACCATTTGTATAATTTATCCTTAAATATCTCATCAAATTAAAAAGATGAAATATTGAAAATATTTTTTTCCATAAAATTTGATAAGAAGATAAATTTGAGATAAGAGGAAAATTTGTAAAGAAAATTTAAAAATAATTTGCTATTAAAATTAAATTAAATAAAAAAAATTAAGAAAGAGTTGAAAATCTATATAATAAAATAGGATTGTTTTTGAATTTTTGTCCTATTAAGATATTTGGGTGACTCAGATTTGTTCAAATTATAAAACAACGGTTGTGATGTATCCTACGTGTACATTTTCTACTTTCTCGCTTCTTTCTCTTACTTTTTCTTTTCTCATCCACCCTCCCATGATCCCATAAATAATTCCATGAATAATCTCATGATTCCACCTTCCTTATTTTCTATTTATTTTTTTATTTCTCCTCTTTTTTATTTTTCTCCTTATTTATTTAATTTTTTTTCTTTTTTGTTCACTTACTTTTATTTACACCATACTTTTAGGCACAGAGGCTCCAATTGAATATATTTGGATCTCCTTTGCAGCTGATACTTCTTTTGCAAATTACATAAGCTGTTACATATTCATGAAAAGGAAATTATTATTAATAATTTTTTATCAACAAAAGTAAATTGCTGACCAGACTGATGTTGATTGTGTTGAACGGTTAAAGCGGAGCAATTTCTTGGAGATTTGGGGGTTGTTGATAGGGATTGGCTTCTTCCAGTCATCAGATTAGAGAGTGTTGTTAGACTTGTGAAAACTTATTACAAATCTCATTTCGATAATTTAAACTATTCAATATGTAAAATTCGTTGAATATTATATGGCTGTAAAAAATTACTTTAATCGGATATCGATAACTATTTCATTGGACTAGATTTTTGTCAACTATTTATTTTTTTAACGTCTTTTTTTTTATACAAAATTGATTTGATCATATAACTATCGATATCCAATCAATATGATTTTTTATAGGTATATAGTATTCGACAAGTTCTAACAGCTCAGATTATTAAAACGGAATCCATGATGACTTCCACAAGCTGAACCATACCCTTCAGTCCGTGAAAGCCAAACCCTTATTGATATTCAACTTGAGGGGGATTCACGCAAGGTTAAAGCCGTGCAAAGTGGATGATCAAGCACTTTCACCTGATGTTCAAGAAAAGTTGGTGAGGGAAAATCCAATTAATGCTATGTTTGGTTAGGAAATTTAAAAAAAAGTTTAGAAAAAGAAAGAAAAAAATTAGTAATATATATATATATTTTAAATCTTCCAATCAAACACAAAATAA